CACCACCATTGATCAAAGCAAGCTGAGTATTATTTGTCCTCTCCCAGGAGTTCTGAGAGCTTCATGGTTAAAAGGAAAGGAGTCCTGTGCCCTCGTCTTAGCTCTGCTCCGTAACTTCACTCCCCAGGTCCTCAGAGTCTGAAAAGGGAGGGCGTTTCATTAAATGACCTCTAAGCCTCTGCCCAGCTTCTAATACTTGATGAACTTCTTGAGAATAACTTCCAAGGTTTATTATTAGAATGATAATAATAGTAACAGGTCCTTCAGGGTTTACTATGTACTTGGCATGGCGCAAATGGGATTTCTAAGGATTATAATGAAAGGTTTAGAGAAGTGCAAGAACTCACAGGATCAACAGCTTGTAAGTAGGACAGTCAGGACCCAAACTCAAATATTTTTCATCTTAAAAGGATCAACCCTGCAACACCGTTTAGCCTCATTACTTACCATCCCTGCTTTGGCATGGAGAGTGAGGATAGAGGAGCCAGTGCAGACCATCTAAACTAAAGGATCATCATGAGTACTAAGGCTATTTGAAAGACAATGACCTCTGAGGTTTGAGAGTCTGATCGCTGCTTCTCTTTCTCTGGGTCTGTTTTTGTTCATCAGTTTATGTTGTTTGTTATTTCCTCTAGATGTGCGAGATCATGTGATCCAAGAAATACCCCTGTAAGAACCTATACTGTGACAAGTGGGGGTAAGGGGAAGAGATCAACCAAAGGACTTGTGTGCATGCATATGGGCCTAGCCAGTGGCCATGGACAACAGGGGGGTGGGGCATATGTAGGGAGGGGTTTGGGATGGGAATGGGGGGATGAGGACAATTATGTGATAACATAATCAATAAAAAAAATACAAAAAAAAGAAGACATCTTATGGATGCTGGGTCCTCCCTTTAAAAGAGGTCAACCATCATTCAGAGAGTGTCAGCATTTCAGTGAAAAAGCTAATAGCCTACACTCATTAAAGTAATCTTAAACGTAAACCGGCTAGGAGTGACAAGTACAAAGTAAAGTGACAAAGTGGCAACCGCAGTCTCAAAATAGAAACGACCCTGGCCACAGGATTCCCACCTCTCTGCTTAAGTGACTTAGTCAAGCTGCTTGTAAAACTAAATCTGACTCTTTTATCAGACCTTTTAAAGGAATGATTATTGAGTCCTGCGTCATTAGTGAGTGCGTAGCTTCTTACTATGGGAAGTTTTCCATTGTTACTCAATCCACATGGAGAACAGAATATCTTGATGTCCCAACTGTTAGTATGCTTTCTCTCCTCCACCTGTTATCATTGTTCTTCTGCTCTCCACTGATCAGGCATAAAGACTTTGTGGAAAAATAAAACAGCCCTACCCACCAAAAATTTACATATAGGGACTCTATAGTTTCTGGTCTAGGATTTCCAGTGTAAAAAGGGTCTTAGGGTCGAAACCGGTTTGGCTCAGTGGATAGAGCGTCAGCCTGCGGACTGAAAGGTCCCAGGTTCGATTCCGGTCAAGGGCATGTACCTTGGTTGCAGGCACATCCCCAGTGGGGGGTGTGCAAGAGGCAGCTGATCGATGATTCTCTCTCATCGATGTTTCTAACTCTCTATCTCTCTCCCTTCCTCTCTGTAAAAAAATCAATAAAATATATTTTTTAAGAAAGGGTCTTAGGGATATGACAATCCTTAGTACAAAAGAATAGACTACCACCACCCATGATTGGTCAGTTAAATCAACACATTGATTAAACTAAAAAGGATAATAATACATACATACCTTCCTTTAATATTTTATTGAAATTTAAACATAAAAAAATAAACTTTCCTTTGCCACTTGTTTTAATGTAGAGGTAAGGCCCTTTCTTTGACTGTACCTACTGTTGTTTCCCCCCCCCCCCTTAGGCAAATTACTATAATGCATTGTTTATGATTTCTAATGCTGGACTCTAAGTGTAGCCACAACTTGAATGTCGAAGTCTGATTCTAGGGGTTCAGTGCTACTTCCAGTCAGTAATCTTTGCTGCTCTAACCAGGGCGCCATATTGGTGGCACGAGGCAAGCAGTTATATTCTGGCTAAGAGATGCCATTGTTGAGGTTGACATTCACACAAACTTCAGAATTATCACCTGCCTCCAACCAATAGTGCACGTTATCTTAATAGCTATAGAGCGCATTCTTGAAGTTTGCTTTTCCCTGGATGAGAAGACTACAGTTGAGTCATTCAGGAAATTGTTGACGAGAGCAAAAAGTGTTGAGAACAGAGAAAAAAAAGAAAGAAAAGCTTTTAGTAAGAAACATCATGGGTGAAGAACAGTGTCTGAGTGGGAGTTTCTCAAGTTGAGTCAGAAAGTTTGGTATATTCGGAATCCATTCCACACGTCACGAATCCCTGAAGATGAAGGAGTTGTGCATTCTACTAATATAGACTTTTAGTTTAAAATAGGCTGCATTATATTTCAGTGGTATGTATGTATGTCTCTCTTAATGTAGGCTAATATACCAAATAGGAATCTCATTTTCTTATCAATTATTGAGGAAACACACCTTTTTTTCTGAGTCTTCAGTGAAAGATGCTAGAAATCTCAAAAGGCCACTTCCTGCTCGATTCAAAGGACTGTGACTGTAAGACTAGGAAAGCACAGAAAGAAATACGAAATGCAATCCTATAGTTTCCTCTGCCCACTCATCGGAGAATGACAGGGGGCGGGGTATAGATTCTGGCAGGAGCTGCTGGGGACCTTTGAAAACTAAAGATATAATCAGTTGGGGGTGGGGAGGGTCATCTGAAACAAGTGTTCGAAGGGAGGAAACTCCAAAACCCTCAGCACTAAAAGGATAGACAGAGTCAGGACCAAGAGGGAGGGGGAGATCAGAGAACAATGATCATGGCAAGAAAAGTGGGCTGGGATGGTCAGTGCCCAGTGGTTGGCAACTATCAGAAGCCAGCCCACTGGGGAAAGATATTCCATTGTAAGTCACACAGGAGTGGCTGTGGAGGGCATATTGTTTTCAGAATCCTTGGGCTCGAAGCCTGGAGCCAAGCAGGAGGACAATACAAATAATTAAGGGAGTAGTGGAGTTAACTTACAGGGAATTCTTTCTGCTTTTCTTCACCTGGGCAGATCAAGTGTGGTATTCATTTCACATCAGATAGGTCTATTATCAGGGAACTGTATCCTGTTCTGGCAAAAGATGATCTAGTAGATGTTTTTCCATTCCCAACTTCGAGGATGTAACAAATTATGTATAGCTTGGGAACGCGATGCACTGGGTCTCTGCGTCAGAGGCATATTTAAAAATAAGATGCACAAACCTCAAGGAGGGAAAAGAAATCCAAGGAGATGTGTTACAAAAACAAATGCAAACAAACAAACAAACAAACAAAAAACAACAACAACCTGCCTCCTTTACATTTATACAGACTTTATATAGAGAAGGAAGTCCAACATTAGAGCAACTCCAGGTCATCAATGTTAGATTTTTCTGTGTTTGTTTATTCTTTCATAGAAAGTAGCTCATGTCCAAAACTCATTTTGAGTAGTAGATATCATACCCAATTTAGAGACAGAAAAATGGAATCATTGAGAAGGTATTTTATTTGGCAACAGTAGTCAGTGAAAGAGACAAGATATGACACAATCGTCTAGTTAGTGGAATAAAAACAGAGCAATAGGTCTATGTATTTCTATCAAATTCAAGTTAGAAGGAATTTTTCTTATGGCTATAATTTAGTCTATAACTTGTCCCTCAAATATCATCGCCCTACAATTATATTAATAAGTCATCTCTAACACTTTACAAGCTCTCTGACACTCCCTTTCGTTGTACATTAATTATTGGGTACTTGACACATTCTTAGTCTGCTTTGGATCCTGTCAATATTTGCAGTCAAAAATCCATTGAGGTTCTTCGTTTCTTAAGTGATGTCTTAAAGATGGAAAAGCATCAAGTCAGCGAGTTCAAAGTTCATTTTTCAATGTGCCTTGTCATTGATAACTATGCTGGAATTATCCATTTGTGTGCCCCTTTCTAAGGCCATTTTCAAAGTATAAGCGTGCAATGTTGGAACAAGTTTAGAGAATTTTAGAGTGGTTAGAGCTTTGGTCAAGTGAAAAGAGCTCTTTAGAAAAGGGTGTGATGGAGTCAAAATCCTGGCCCTTTTGTTTAGACTCCTGGATTTTCCTCGAACTGTTTGCGTGACCTTGAGCAAATCATCTCATCTCTTAGGAGGCTCCGTTTCCTCTTCAGTAAAATGAAGACCATCCAAACATCAGAAGTTTATTGGGAAGATGGAGGTGTTGTGATGACCAGGCTCAATATTGCAGCTTGGGGGTGAATAAGGTAGTTTGTGGTAGATGGGTGTCGGGGGAGTAGTTATTGTCCCATAACCTTACCACCTGATTAACATGAAAGCTAGTCTCAAACCCAACTCTGCCACAACACAGACCTTTGTTAAAGACACAGCATTCATTAGCTGTGCATACAGTCTGGCTGAGAGCTGGATGGAGCCTCAACCCTTGTACCTTTAAGTGCTCCAGATTATTGCCACCTTGCAGAAAAGGATCACGTGAGGCCGGTGGGGATTCTGTTGCCCTTACTTGGCAGCAGCCAGCTGGAAATCCTCCTTATCAATGGCTGGACACAAGCCTATTTGGGGGATTAGTCTGCTACAGTCTTCAGATTCTTACACTCTGTTCAGCAGGGTGGGGATTGCTTCCAAAATAGTTTAGCCAATCTTCGTATCTTAACCTCTAATTTCATAAATAAAATCAATTTCTAATGCTCACTCTATTATTTCACCTGTCTTTTTACATCCCACCCCCCCCCCCCCCAAGCAATGAGGCCTCGGGTGGTGGTGAAGATATGGCTAACAGAATACTTGACGGAGCAATCCTGGGAATGTAGTCTTGGTGATATTTTACCCAGAAGGATAAACTCCCAATTAGAGAAATAGGTATTCCTAGTGTTGCAGTTTAAACCAAAGTGCACACATAAAGGGTGTCCCCCCAAATGTATACACGTACTTTGGTTAATTATAAGGCAGTATTTTTAAAAATATATTTCACTTTCAAAATGGAGCTATCAGCTGTTAAAGTGTGTATACATTTTTGGGACACCATGTATAAAATAGCATACTCTCTATAATAAAGTAGTTTAAAATAAATTCCAGACAACTTAACAATAGGCAGAGCAAATATTTTAAGTATATGTTAATACTCATCCACTTAGAGATGATCTATTTCAGTGGTCAGGAAACTCAGTCAACAGAGCCAAATATCAACAGTATAACAATTGAAATTTCTTTTGAGAGCCAAATTCTTATTTAAAAAAAAATATATTTTATTGATTTTTTACAGAGAGGAAGGGAGAGAGATAGAGTTAGAAACATTGATGAGAGTCATCGATCAGCTGCCTCTTGCACGCCCCCTACTGGGGATGTGCCTGCAACCAAGGTACTTGCCCTTGACCGGAATGGAACCCGGGACCCTTTAGTCCGCAGGCGGATACTCTATCTACTGAGCCAGACCAGTTTTGGCGAGAGCCAAATTTTTTAAACTTAAACTTCTTCTAACGCCACTTCTTCAAAATAGACTCGCCCAGGCCGTGGTATTTTATGGAAGAGCCACACTCAAGGGGCCAAAGAGCCGCATGTGGCTTGCGAGTCCCGGTTTGCCGATCACTGATGTATTTCAATGGCTGTTAGATTGGCTCCACAAGTTCTGTGGAACTGCTCATGGCCCCGAGTTTGGGGGAAGCAGATGGGGTTCTGGGCTCCCTACCACCTCAGTCACAGCAGTTCCACCTCCACCTAGTTTGCATTTTAGATGTTTTCATAACACTTTACTTAAGGAAAGGTTCCATGCCAAAGGTTTGAAAACCACTGATGAAGCCTAACATTCATATTACAAATGGGGAAGATAAGTACCAAAGCAGTTGTCACTTTTTCAAGTACAGATTACCTGTAGCAACTCTTAGTGTTGGGCTCTTTTCACCACCATAAGCCACCCATGTACTGCCAGGGCTGACTAGCAGACCCTGAGCAACGGATGAATCCATTATTCTGACACAGGTTTCTGTGAAAGAGAGGCTAAGGGGCTTGTTTGGCTTTCGAAACCAAAAACAGCCCCAATTGCCTGCCTTCTTTGGCTTTTATTGTAACAACAGCTTGAACTAAAATTAACTATTAGATATAATCAGCAGGGTAAGCATCCTTGAGAAAGCAAATGCTTCTACAAGGTCAGGTTTTAAAGACTCAACATAGAGATCCTAGCAAAACACCCTGGGGATCAGATTTGTTTGGAAAAGCCAAGGTAGGGGCTGCCATCTTCGGCAAGGTCCCCTAAAAGGCTCCCGATCCTTAGGAGAATCCTCCTTACAGACTTTCCAACCAAGTTCCGTGCTTCCCCACAATGCACCAGGGAGAGTTTACACGCATGGCTAAAATTAATCTGTGCGCAAGTAAAGGTGGTATTCCCAGATCATGTCCTTTACCGATACACTGTCTTGGATGACTTTTACATGTTCCTTTACTAAAAACTGCAACCTACTATAGAACATACACACATGATTAAACGGGTTAGTTCAGCAATCAAACCCTTCAGAAACAGTTTTAGCTTGAATTCATCATTGGGAAGATGTCCTTTGAAGAAACTTAATAAATGGGCCATGGTAGTAATGATCTAATCCGTTAAGCTTCTTCCAAATAGTTCCTATCTGGACTTGACCTCTTTCACCCAAACGGACTATAGTAATGGAAATAGTTTTTGCTTCAATAGAGATCATCTTCCTGGGTCTTATACATTGTTTTGATCTTATTTCAGGACCCTAATGATATATTATCCAATCTGTGACATGCAATTATAAAATACTATTATTTTATGTCTTGCTAAGAAATAAAACATGTCAATTAAAATTTTACGATACCATTGCTGCAAAGATACATTCTGATTTCAGAGATATTAAAAGAGGTGCATCTCGCCCTCATAAGGCAACAAGTGCTTTATCTTAAGTGGAAAAAATATGTTCTACCTTCAGAAAAGCTTTAATGCTTCTTTTATGGGAGTGACAGTCCTGGTTGAAGTGGTTTGCATTAAACATTCTTGCCTTTTGATATCAGATGAAAGAGGGACAAAATTCAAATTTACATATTCTCTTCACCAAGTTCAAATTACTTTGTCAGTATATTCCTAGAATAATGTTCAGCATAACTCATGTTTACTAAAATGTATTTTTTGTTAACTGCAGATGGAGATTAGTACGTTATTTTAAAAATATATATATTTTATTGATTTTTTTACAGAGAGGAAGAGAGAGGCATAGAGAGTTAGAAACATCAATGAGAGAGAATCATCAATCAGCTGCCTCTTGCACACCCCCTACTGGGGATGTGCCCGCAACCAAGGTACATGCCCTTGACGGGAATCGAACCTGGGACCTTTCAGTCCACAGGCCGAGGCTCTATCCACTGAGCCAAACTGGTTTCGGCTAGTACGTTATTTTAACGAAGGACAAGACTCTGTGAACTGTGAGCCAATAAATGTGACTTTCTAGCACACTTTTTATACAATGGTGTGTTGGGAAGAAGGTAAAAAAACGCCAATTATAGAAACTTAAAAAAGCGCTGGGCCCAGCCAGTGTGGCTCAGTGGTCGAGCATCGACTTATGAAACAGGAGGTCATGGCTTGATTCCCAGTCAGGGCACAGACCTGGGTTGTGGGCTCAATCCCCAGTATAGTGCGCGCAGAAGGTGGCCAATCACTGATTCTTTCACATCATTGATGCTTCTATCTCCCTCTCCTTTCCTCTCTGAAATCAATAAAAATATATATTTTTAAAAAGTGCTGGAACAGCCCTACGACATTATGGAAAGGAGGAGGCAGTTGAAGAGGTGCGATTGCCCCCCTCCCATGTTAAATCTGAAGGAAACTGAAGGAAGGCGAAGGTGTGGGATGGTTTCTGTGGATGTTATTTCCTCCTTCCCTATCATTATGTCCTCCTTCCTTATCCCTGAGAGAAAAATATTAAGCACCACAGGAGGGCAACAGCCGGAACAAACTGTCTTCAAATTCTCCTATTGAATTGGACCGAAGGATGAATACCAGAAATTTGTGATAAATAGAAGTCAAATTTGCCTTTGCATATTTCTGTGCTGTCATTACCACAATTTTCTTGAGGTAAAAAGCTTTAAAGATGCACTTTGCAGATGGATTTTTTTTCTCTCACAAACAATTACTGTCTCAGAGTATCATTACCATTTCTTACTTTTCTGGAGCTAAATCTTCCCTATTTTCTCTTTCAGGCAAATATCAATATCCCAATGGGAGCCTTTCGGCCGGGAGCTGGGCAACCTCCTAGAAGAAAAGAAAGTTCTCCGGAAACAGAGTTGGTGAGGAAAACTTGTCCTTCTCCTCCAAAATCCTGTCTAGCGCGGAGCAGAGGCATGTTGGGGGCTGCTTTTCTAGGGCAAAGGAGGGAAGGAAGGGAAGTAGGTCAATGAGTCATCACAAAGTGTATACATTCCTTTTTAAAATATATATATATATTTTATTGATTTTTTACAGAGAGGAAGGGAGAGGGATACTTAGAAACATTTATCAGCTGCCTCCTGCACACACACATCCCCCCCAACTGGGGATGTGCCCACAACCAAGGTACATGCCCTTGTCTGGCATTGAACCTGGGACCTTTCAGTCCACAGGCTGACGCTCTATCCACTGAGCCAAACCAGTTTCAGCTATATACATTCCTTTGATGTCTTGCTCAATTAGCTATGAAACACACTGGCCCTTGTTTCCCTTCAGCTAAATTAAAATATATATATATATATATATATATATATATATATATATATATATATTTAGTTGATTTTTTACAGAGAGAAAGGGAGAAGGATAGTTAGAAACATCGATGAGAGAGAAACATCAATCAGCTGCCTCCTGCACACCTGCTACTGGGGATGTGCCCACAACCAAAGTACATGCCCTTGACCGGAATCAAACCTGGGACCTTTCAGTCCACAGGCCGGCGCTCTGTCCACTGAGCCAAACCGGTTTTGGCCCTTCAGCTGAATTTAAGTGCTTGGCACAGTTACTTGAAGATGATGAGTTTAACACGAAGCCTGCTGATTGATTGTGTATGTTTGTGTGTGTGTGTGTGTGTGTGTGTGTGTGTGTGTGTGTGTGTGTCGGGGGGGGGGGGGGAGGGGGGGAGAGCACAGCCTCTCAGATGCTCTTGGTCCACAACAGTCACAAGCTTGGTAAGTTTTCATTTTGAGCTTTTACCAAACTAAACATGATGCATTTAGTACGGATTCTGATGAGTGATGAACCCAGAGGGAGCACAGATAATAAACACATTAAGTTTCTGGTGGATTCAAACAAAAAGCTCCAATTTCTGGGTATTTACTTTGACAAGAAGACTTTGCAGGGAGTCTATAAATTTCTGTATTTTCCCTCCAATTCTTTTGCTCTCCTCCCAATGCAAATACCTCATCTTCTAAATGGAGGCTAAAATTAATAATGAGTACAATAAATATAGGAAAGTTCCTTCCCCAAGTGTTGATATTTCATCCCCAATTGTGCTGAAGGTTTTGTTCTGAAAAAAAAACAAACAACAACAACAAAAAAACAAAAACAAAAACAAAAACCAAAATAAAACAAAACAAAAACCAATTAAAGTTTTGGAGCATGTCATTAGCACTAGACAAGAAAAATGTCATTAAATAAAGTTGTATGACATATAAAACCGTATTTTCTCTTTTTAAAAAGGTGAAAAGGCTGTCTTAACTTTTGTAGGAGACATTTTTGGTAACTGCCCCAAAAGAACACATCATCATTTCAAAGTTTCCTAATAAAACTGGTTGTCCCTCTTCTAATCTTCTGCCCCATAAATAATTCCTGACATAGTCCTGAATTAGCGGTTCCAGCCTCTAATCAATAGATAATTTTTGAAAGGAGGAGATGGAGTATTTGAGTAATATCACCAAGTTCTGGGATTTCAGCCATTAAATCACCTTTCATGAGTAAATATTTTAAACATGCAAGTTGAAAGGTCCCAGCCTGACCTTTTCTTATGGTACATAATCTCTAGTTCTAATGCTGCTAACTTGGCCATCTAGTTAACTAATGATCATGAGCGCTCTCTCTCTCTCTCTCTCTCTCTGTCTCTCTCTCTCTCTCTCTCTCTCTCTCTCTCTCTCAGATTTTGGTCATGTATTTCTGAGTCTATGTCTGCAAAATAAGATCCACTCCATTCCTCAGAGGGTCACTGTGAGGAAAGAGTTGGCATAGCCTGGCAGGTAGTCAATAGATAATTGTTCAATTGATCTGTGTATCTAACATTCACGAAGGACTCCTGGGTCTATTATTTTGCATGCTGTAAGAAAAAGGCATGGGGAGGTAGTAGGGTGGGCACAGTAATTCTTCCTATACCTCCATTTGCCTGTAATTAGATTTCCTTCCTGTGCTGCCTTTTAAGCTGTGTCTGTTACTACCATGGCAATCAGTTGGAAGACAGCTTGATCCTCTTTTCTCACTAAATTGTGACTGCTGTAAACAGTTCTTTTGGAGGCTTATATTTCAGTTTCCGTCTGTGGTACAGATGGCCCTCTCCTCCAGGTGTCCCAGTTAGAGGGTTGGGGGAGCACTGTGCTCTCACTCCTGCCTTGTCCCAATCTGATGGTTCCAGCACATTCTAAAATAGCCAAGAACTGATACAACCCGGTGGGTGAATGCTTTATGACCAGCCACGTATGCAAATGGCCAACCAATACTTTTCGCAGGATGAGAGGACTAAGGTATCCACAGAGGTTCTAGAAGTTTCTTGAACTGGGCAACACCTTTCCCCCTGTGGCTCATCGATCAGGAGGGTGTAATTAGGCATTGTTCTGTCTTATTGTAAGCGCAAAAATGGTTTCTCAAGATTTGGGCGGGGGGGGGGGGTCTTAGGGAAGCGTGGGATCTAATGGCTCACGTTCTGGGCTGGATCTTAGAGTACTCTGCCTCCCATATCTCTTTTGACTGAAATCCCCTCATTTTTAAGTCACAAATTAGCATGCTGGGATTTTCTGTTAATTATTTCCCTCTCCATCTGGTTCCTTTACAAGATGAAAACACACTATGTGATTCTGGTCCCACCACATCCTAGCTGTGTGACCAGTGTGCCTCAGTTTCCTCAAAAACAATAGCAGCATATTTATAGGTTGATGTAAAGATCAAATATGTTAGTATATGTAGCTTATATCAGCCATTCCTGAAACGAAATGGTCTGCGGCTGATAAGCCTTCTCTCTAGCTATTTTTAGCTAAATCAAATAATGTCTTCCATATCCCTTTTCAATTCAAATGTCTACTTGCAAAAAAAAGTACTTATTAGTCCAATGGAGCCAACTGGAGTCCTGTTTGTTCATGCCTTAATTTATTATAATTCTTAACAAATTCAGATTGCCATTATTTTTGAAAGATGAAAGAAGATTCAGTTAAGAATCTTCACCACCACTAACCCCCTTCCTGAGTTAATATCATAATATCTACTTATTAATTATATCCACTTATAATTCTCCATTACACATGCCCTTACCAAATCAAGTACTAAAAGTCTCAACTTGATAATAAAAAGCACAGTGCACTGAGGTTTTAATAACTTGAGAGGAAAGTGACTACTATTAAATATTATCATCCTATCTCTGTTTATATCACATAATAAACTTGTACAGAGACACATAACTACACACACTGGCTTTGGGTGTCAAATGTGTCAATACAGCACATTTTGATATTACAAAGACAGTGAATTACCTGAGAATTTAACAGAAGGAATAAAAATATTTTTCTTCTTCATGCTTCTTTTTAAAAAATATATATATTTTTATTGATTTTGTACAGAGAGGAAGGAAGAGGGATAGAGAGTTAGAAACATTGATGAGAGAGAAACATCGATCGGCTGCCTCCTGCACACCCTCTACTGGGGATGTGCCCGCAACCAAGGTACATGTCCTTGACTGGAATCGAACTTGGGACCCCTGAGTCCTCAGGCTGACACTATCCACTGAGCCAAACCGGTTAGGGCCTTCCTGCTTCTTTATTAAGACCTACCCACCTAACAATCATGGGAACATTTATAAGTAGGGAAACGTTTATTTCACTGCTACAGATATTTAAAAATAACTCCAAACACTTTATAGCCTTGTTTAAAATTTCTTTCCAAAAGCCTAGCAAAGAACATTCTAGAATACCTGGTCCTCCAAATGCAGGCTTTGTGATGTCCATTATTGCTTCTAAACCTGCATTTATAAATGATGAATGTATGTGCACACAAGGAAGCCAATCCTATGGCTCCGTACACCGATCTGGGGAAACATTTTCCAGATATTTACAGCAGCCAGGCCACACTGAATTACTTTATCAACTTGTGTGGCTGACAGGTTAGCTAGTTCGTTAGCACCGTGCCAGCGTCAAAGGAAATGACTAGGAAAAGCAATTAGCGCTTCCCAGAAAAACAGCACCTCGCTATTTTAGATCTCTACTTACCCACTCAAGTAAACAATTTAAAAATGTCATGTCAAACGACATGTCAGCCAAGTAATTGGTTAGAGTTTGGGAAGGTTGAACACTTTCTTCCCCTTTCCTTTAGGGTTTTTGAGAACAATTTGAGAACTAGATGTAGGAGCCAGAAGGGAGGAACAGCATCAGCCTTAACCTGTTAACCGGGGAGTTCCCTTTTTAATTATACAACGTACAACGGGCGCATATCTTTCACTAGGACGTGTCAGTATGTCACACCCAGTGGACGTAATTTTATATTATTATTATTTTTATTTATACTTAATTTAAAATAAATGAAATATATATTTTTTCGTTTATTTATATATAAAGCGCAAAGGAAAACACAAAATTACAAACAAATAGAAAGGAATACCAACAAAAAAATGGAAACATCGAATTAAAAAATTATAAATTTTACAAACAATTATAAAGATTACAAAAAATATATACCGTCCCTCTCAGGGCGCAACATATATTTCAAGGACGTATTCATATGTCCTACCCGTTCCCAATATTGTTTACGTTTGACGTATTTATAGGTGCCGCTCGGTTAACAGGTTAAGACTCAGG